GCTTGAAGTTCGCATCAGCTAGGTTTAACCATTATGAATGGGTGAGTAGCGTTCAATACATACGTGTCACACTTAATGTTTCCGACTGGTCCTCCGTTCGATTTCAAAGTTGCTCACCTTAAACCGCTTCACAACTGTTGCTTGTCACTTATATTTATTAGCTTTTTGATTCCCCTGGGTCCCGATGGTTACTGAGTGCTGTCCAAACCCCTCGTGTCCTTGCGACGAACTGTTAGTTATATATAGCAAAGTGGGGTGCCTCAAAGCGGTCAAAGCCGCTTCCAAAGACCTGCAATGCGGTTGGTCCCATGTGGACAGAACTGGATTGCATCCACTGCAGTATGCACTTATGCCTAGTGGCGAGAGAGTACTGCGCCGTTGTATTGACTGCTGTTTGCGTATGACTGAGTGCTACACGTTATAAACTAGCGGTCCGGTGTTTCTGGAAAGCCTGTTGTCTGAGGTCTTTGCTGGACAGAAACTATGCTTGCTTTGTGAAGTGTCTGGACTGCTCAGATCTTCACTAGGAAGCAGTGGAAGGAACTTGCATATTGCTAGACTCAGCGTCTGTTTACTTATAGTCTACTGTCTGTGCACCATCTAGTAGCGAAACGTTTGGCAACGAACCATCAGATAACGTGTTTGTCTGGTTTGTTAGCCAGGGAGACGCGGGCTTCTGCCGTTGTCAACGGAAAGTGGAATTGGGTTAAAAATTGGAAAAACCCAAGACCGATGTAGGAGGTCAGTCGGGTGACCTATCCCATTCCTCTCCATTCTTACTGCAACTATGTTTTCCATGCTTTATGCGTTTACGTAGTAATAGTCTGAAAAGTCGGCCGCTAATCCGAAACAGCCAACATCCCCGGAGCGTTGGGTAGGTACATCGCGTCGCTGAGACCTTTATACTGCTTGCAGTATTATTTCCCTTTTGGCAACAGCGTCATCTGCAGTTCTTTTAAAAGAGCTTATGCTAGCTGACCTACATTTACTTAACACATGCATACCAAACAGTAACGACAGGCTTTCCCGGTGTCACTGTACGAAAACCCACCAGACTCGGTAACTTGTTGGCTGAGAAGGCTGTATCTAGCCCGGGCATGTTGCCCATCTTGCTGCAGATGTGCGCCAAAATCTTCTACTTTTTGCTTTTAAGACCAAAGGCACCAGTATCGTGTTGCATCCAGATCTTCCCTTGACGGAGACACAGAAATTGTGAAATGCTGTGCTATGTGGAAGTTTGTCTTGAAGCAAGAGAAAATATCGCTTGGTCGGTTTTCGGATAGTAAGCCGGCGGTGCACTTCCTGGCTGCCAGCGCCGGTTCCGGTGGCGCAGAATCCCGGGCGCACGTGGCTAAATATCTACAGGTGCTCTTTAATAAGTTGCGTAACCTGCGCAACAGGTTGTGTGAAGTGGTCGTTGTTGTTGGCGACTGCCGTCCAGATGTTCTCACCTTCCCTGATACGTGGTTGTCCACCAACGTCACGGACCGGGAAGTGTGCTTACAAGACTACACACTACCGTAGTGTGACCGCACCTACCACCGTCACGGAGGCAGCATTACCTTGTACACCAACACAACCCTTGCCATATTTACGACGTATACTTTCCGTACTCACAATTCCTTTTTATATTATACCTATACAACTTATATTTGTGCTGATCGATAGAAGCCCCCATAGTGTTGGGAGTGGTCTAAGTGATGTTATCCGTAAACATAGGACGAATACGTGTTCAGTAACTGGGAAATTTAATCACCCCAAACTGGACTGGTAGCATTGTTCCTGCAAAGCTTTTTTCAAATTGTTTGGCTACTGCGCATCTCGATCTAGCCCTGCATGCTCCCCTGCAACAGTTCGTTGATCGGCCTACTAGATTCATTATGGGGCAAAACCCGTCCCATTTGGACCTTTGCTAACTTTATTGCCTTTAGAATGTACTAGGTTATTAACTCAAAGTCGAAGTACCCGAGGGCTCTTGTTTGCTTACCGTTGCAAGAAACAGGACGCTGGTTAGGCGGAGGCCTGTATGGTCCTTGGTACCTGAACCAACTTCGGTACTAGCGACCACGCAAGTTAGTGGTTTAAGTATGCTTTTAGTCGTAGGACAAATAATATTCCCAACGGGGTCCAAATCTACGGCTTCCCAAGCAGGGAGCTAAGATGCTACACTCGTAGCCAACTTCGAAGTAAAGGCCTTCATTCCTACAGTCCGCGGTGTGTAGGCAGTTCTGACAAACAGCCACCTGATAGCCCTAGCCGACATCAAACTTACTGGATAAAATGTTATAAGAATTGGCGGTAAGCAAATACGCTAAATGAGAATGAGTATAGCTTGAATGAATAGGCTTTAAAAGGGAAGAAAGCGAATCGATTAGGCTAGAAAACAGTACGAAACGATTGTGATAAGCAACGATAGAAAGATGATTGCGAGTTAAACTTAATGCAGGTACTTTATATATCAGTGACAAGAGCATCCTGAGATTGGCTGCGAAAAGAATCAGTGTATTTCTTGAGAAGTATACTGTCGGGTTACCCGAACCTGGACAGCAGAACCATTAGGGTTCTCAACCAAAACCTTGGGTTCAGTAACTTTACAGCATGCAGCGGGTGATGCAATGGACTACAAGGAGTCAGTTTTAAGGAACAAAGCCACTCACCTTCCAATCCCAATCTGGATGGCAAGGCGGTTACATTTGTCTGGCCCATGACCGTTGACCAATCTCGTATGAGTGGCTCAGAACGTGCACAAGACACACCTCAATGAATCACTCAGGCACGTAAACTACTGCACTACGATAAAGTGCAGCCTCATTGCTCCTACTCCATGCAAACACAAACATTACCGCGAAGCTGGAAATGCCTGCAGCCGTCATCTGCGAAATCCTTGACCACAATGTGAAGTTGACGATGTTCGTCCAGCCTCGTGAGATGCAAAACCTTTTGTCGCTTAGGTTGTAAAGCTAATGCAACGTAAACTTGTCCATCGTAGTGTGGTTTTTCCTCTGACCTCTCTGCTGTTATCAGAGCTTACGCCAAAGGTTGTTCACTCGGTTATCAGCCTACAAGTAACGGTTTCTGAGGGCTCTTTCCTGGAAGTCATCATATTGAAGGCTCAATTGCTCCGGCTCCTGCGGCTAAGGAACCCCATAAAGTAGCTGGGGTGGAATCTATTCATCGCAGACTGTTGTAAGAGTTAGGCGGCAACTACCCGCATTGGATTCCGCATGTTGCGGATGATCCCGAAGTTATTGGAGATCAGGGCGCACCTGGAATACTGTGTACCCGCTTGCCATCTATGCTTAGTTCTTGGCAGAATGGCATTTGAGCTGGTTTTGCAGTGTTTCACGAAACTGATACACATATTAAGGAAGCGGTTGCACATTGAAAAGTTACTGGAGGTGATGGATCGCTTCATTTACATTGGTATTTGTGTCAACTGTGGTGGTCTCGTAGCTGAGCAGGTTTATTTGCATATCAGCAAGGCACACGCAGCTTTCCATAGCCACAAAAATTAATGGAAGATGGCGTGATAAGCGGCTGTGAACGAAACGTTGCTTGCATAATACTGCGGTCGGACCGGTCCTCCTATACTGATAAGTGACCTAGGCCGTTGGCGGTGAGGACACGAAATGGTGTAACTTATTGGCTACCCTGGTTTGCGGAATATTTTTCAAGTCTGGGTGGAACATCCGGTGAGCCATGCTAAGGCCTGCCAGTTGTTTGTTGACAACCAGACTTCTTGTTCTTTAAAGGATTGGTTACCGAATCCGACTCATTACGTTAACTATCCTACGTTCTCCATATACCGGTAAACCGGCTTCCTCCGCGCGCATCATACAACGTGGCTGATTCCAATGGAGCAAAACTACTAGGCGGGCAGTCCCCGACGTTGCATGTAAGCATTAAGATAATGGCAGGAAGACAATCGGGCCGCCGCTTGCTGTCTTCGTGGAGTTGGGCCTCGGCATGTTCCATATCTATGTCTGCGGACCGTATCAGACATAGCACAGAGGATGGATCTCCTACATTCCACTCCTGGCGCCCGGTTATTCATTTCCGTTTTATTCTACTGGATTTAGTGCACCACTTGCTCTGCGCTTTTGCGTTATCTTTGCGTCCAAGCCAAACATTCTGATATTCTTTGTCAATATTATGCACCATATGTGAATTGCGTGTGCCCCATGCTGAGGCTGATGTTGCATTCTTGATGCCTGTTCACCGCAGTTGGGCTAAACCAACTTACACTTAAACTAGGTCTTTTTAAGCTGGCTAAATTTCATTCCGCTTTATTTGGCTTGTTCTGCCTCCCTGAATAATGTTCTATTAACTGGCCACGTTGCTTACACTAATTGCGCTTATCTTCGGTAATTTTGTTGCGTTTGTAGCATTTTAAGTAACTTGTGGACATTTCTTACTTATCACGGATTTGTTGCTAACCAACTTACTTCATATGGTAATTTAGCGAAGAGTTATGCCACCGTATCTGTATGCATTATTGGATTTATTTAATTTCAGCTTGTCGTTTAAATTGAATGGCTGTTGTTTGATATCCCTGGTTTGGTTGCGCTTGATGTGTAGGTTGACAAGGTGCCTACCTGTATATTACCCATTACATCGTTCATACTGGCTCCAGGAGACAGTTGGTCGTTCCTGGAGGGGAAGGGGTGCACGGTCCTTGTGGCCGTGCTAGGCACAACGAGCGGTTCCATGCACTCAGTGTGGAGCCGACTACGGTCCAGCCACCGCCTTGTGTGCGGTTGATTCCCCAAATACAGCGTGCTTGTGTTTGCCTGTGAAGGAGTGTGGGCCGACTCCGTTGATGAAACGTGGTTCCCATCCGCATGCCTCCCGGTCCTATTCCTTCGGGTTTACGCTGGATATGGGGTATGTGGTTTGAGCTGTGGGTGGTGCAGCTCAAGCCATCCATGGTCCCTCTGTAGGCGCAGGCGTCCTGTGGCTTGCCACAGTGACAGGCAAATCCGAAACCGGATACCGCCAACCATGTGAATTGCGTCTACTGCATCTAAAGCACCTCGGTGCTCGGATCCTAGTTAATCGAATGAAGTGACTTGGAAGTCTCGTACCTCGTCTTCGCCGGCGCCTTAAACTTTCGGTACACTGCGATGGAACCGAGTGGTCCTTTGTCCCTATAACAGGCCCTAGATAGACAGTGGATCTACTCCGCCTTGTGGCAGATACCATTAAATATGGTTGCCGTCGCTTACTATTCCGGTGCTACTTCGCACGTTTGGGAGAAGTCAGTGAGTAGTAGGGTGTGTCGGCCTGCTCCAAGTGACACGCACCGTCATCTAGAACCAATTCTACACCTTGCAAATTGTTCAGGTAAATACAGCTCTTGGCATCTAGGTCAGCTGGTTCCCTCAGTCACAACATCTGAGCCTTCTGCATTTCTAGTAGACATGTGCCGCATTGACACATGTTGCCGCGGAACCACACAGCCTCCGAGTACAATTATCCATACAACCGGAGGCCATTTAGATACCAAATGTTCTCCACCTATAAATATCCATTGCGCATGTTGTTCTCAACCCTGCAGGTAAGTGCACAGCGTATATTCACGTGGCTTTTAAACCGCCAGTAGACATACGCCGCCCGGTTTCCTTGTTTGGTGGTGCCATACTGCCACACCAAGCATGCTCCACTGGGTTTCAGGTCCGTTTTAACTACAAGAATTGCCCACTCCATACATTTAGACCAAAGCCATATATGCCTGGTCCCAGTCCAAGGTTTTGTTAGACCACACCACTTTAAGGTTGCATGAACTGCACCCTGACTTGTACCATTCACTGGTAAGTGCAAACTCTCCATTTCCGTGGCTTCCGACACCGTTGACATACGCTGACCAATCCACTGGTTCCCCAGTGTCACAGTCCATCCACTTACATGACTCATTGCTTTTGTCGTCATATTCACATCCGGTAGGTGAATAGGCTTCAGTGCTATAACTTTTTCGTCAGCCATCCGAGATACCTCGCTCCGTCCATGCTTTTCCAGTGACACCCCCCATATACCAACCAAGGTCGGTGGTTTGTGTTGTCTTTTTCACCCTGCTTACTCCGCAGCTTCACAACAAGTGTCTGTATGCACATTGCACTCCTAGCTCGGAGCACCTGCTGCCTCTCTTTTGACGCGGCACAAACCATTTCCCAGCGTTCACGCTTTGTGGGTTACGAGCGATTTACGTGCGCACTCACAAGGTTGAAAATATCTGTGAATGGTTCGTACTTCATAATGGATAATAGTATATGCACGGAACACCCTTGGTGACATACCTACAACGCTCAACTAGACACGAAATCAAAACAGAACACTTAAATGCTCCGCACTTCGCAATCCTGACCCAGCAAGGAAACCCAGAATACTAAGCAAAGCCATACCAGACACCCGTCGTCCGACTTCAACAGCACTAACTACTTGCGGTCAACTCTGAAGGACGACTACACAACTATAGGAAACAACATGGCAACACATGACTGCGGATAGGCGCGGGGATAATCGGTAAGACGCAATCTCGTCAATGTCATGGCTCCAGTCGGCAGTGTTCCAGGACGTAATGGATTTTTTCTTGGCAAGCGTGTCCCCTAAATTAAAGCCAAAAATGTCTGTTTAACAACCCTGACCCACACTGTGTACACAAATATATCGAATTGGCCCATCATCAATATACTCCCAAACAATGATCTGATCCTTGTTTGTACATCTCGCATTCTGTGAAGTTAGGCTTCCTACATTCTTTGGTCCATGTGGGCCAACACTACTGGCTCCATCTGTAGTATACCCGCTCTTGCTTATGCTAATCCAGCTATCGAGTAAAACGTTGCAGTATGCTGATCATGCCCAAAAGGCGTGACTCGCTTTGCCCAGCATCAACTTTTTATTTGTTTATTTATGTATCGTTCTTCTATGCCTTGATTACCCAATTCCGTTGAACATTGTAATCATGTAACCATGTACCTTGTCTTTGTGATACCTCTGTACTTGACTCACATAGGTGAGTACTGTCAACGCTCATGCACTATTGCAGTAGTCCTGACTCACATCCGGCACGCACGGTGGCGCGGTCTACAGCGATTGATGTGAAGTACACCTTCGCCTGTCCGCAAACCAGCGGATAGCGGCAATGAGGTGTGGCAGCAATGAACACCATCTCATTTCGAAAGCAACTACATGTGAGATTTTCCGACCACAATGTCTGCACTTGTGATCTCGGTCTCTGCTATGTTGCACTCGTCCATATTCACCCACGTCACAGGTTTCGAGGACGCAGGGTCAAGAGACGTGAGCATGTATTTCTCACAAAACCCACTGGCATTTTTATTTCCAGCTAAGCATCTCCTGGACATAGATGTTGTGAACACTTCACGCTGACTACCTGTATGTGCGCAACAGTGGCACATCTTGAATCTGTAAGTCAACCTTGCGTCACACCTATGCATATGGTTTACATTTGTGTTTGTGGCACAAGTTGCAATAAACCGTTCCTCAGGGCTTGCGCGTTGTGGGTCGAGAGCGCAGGAAACGCTCTCCATGAGGACGTGGATATTTGGAATTGGTACAAACGCCCGCGCTGTCTTTGATGCTTTTGCTGTTTATGCAGTGAAAGGGGTGTCAACCATTTGCATGCATTGACCCAAAGAAACGAAATTCCATGTAACCCGTGTATGCCATGTATCAATGGCATTAATTAAACCCATTCCATACATGATGCTTAAAGCGGCACTTTAGCCCACGTCAGTGGCTTCGCTTGTAGAGTTAATAAGGTCTGCTTTAAAATTCTATGCCCTTAATCAATGCTGCTAGTGGAGAAGATCCGTGTCTATAGAAGATACTTTGCAACCGACCATTTTGATGCAGCTGTTGTGGCACATACATAGGCTTAATAAGCCTGTCAAGCAGGCATGCGAAGTCAATAGCTGCTACAGCCATAGTAGCGAAATCGATGCAGCTGCTAAAGGACGTATATGGGCAGAGTATAAAAGGTTCATGGACTCGTGAGAAGCCCGGGGTATTTGGTTGGTTAGTGGCTATACTGATGACACTGCTATGGCACCAACGTGGGCTCAATGAACGGCGGTCGTGAATGCCTGTAGAGCCAACAAAATTCGCTGCGTTACTCGCTATATTGAAACAACTATTGTAGGAGAAATATAGGAACACGTCTTTGAGGCATGTGGAGTCAATAGTTGAGGCTTAGCTCGTGGTGCTATTGATGCCAAGGTCCTAGGACGTACATGGGCTATGTAACCGCGTTTCCTGGTGGCTCGTAAAGCGCATAACATAGGTTTTGCTACCGGCAATGATAAGGTTTTTCTGCCGCGTATACATAGGCTTCCGCTAGTGAAGAAAAAATGGATGCCTGTTAATTTACGAGTATGCCGCCTGTGTTAGCGCTGGCTAGCCAAACAACCCCAGCGTGGTTGCAGCCGGGTGGTTCGGGTTTAGCCAGTGCCAGCAAATAGTTCAAAGGCAGTGTTACAGGCCGTGGTGGGTGTTCTCCTAGCTAGCCTTTTCCATATAAAAGCTTACCAATGTCTGCCTAACATCTGTGGCATGACGGTCTTGCTTAGCCAAAAAATAAAGCCACTGCTGCGTGAAGGTCCGGGGAATACGCTCCCGCGCAAGGAGGCAAGTCTTCTACTCTCAAATTTCTGGTTATCTTAAAACTTCAAGAAAGCAGCAGCACAATTACAAGCACAAACTCTACAGCTACATACACACACAGTTACATACTTATATGTTTGGCGGCATCCGGTTTCGGATTTGCCTGTCACTGTGGCAAGCCACAGGACGCCTGCGCCTACAGAGGGACCATGGATGGCTTGAGCTGCATCACCCACAGATCAAACCACATACCCCATATCCAGTGTAAACCCGAAGGAATAAGACCGGGAGGCATGCGGATGGGAACCACGTTTCATCAACGGAGTCGGCCCACACTCCTTCACAGGCAAACACAAGCACGCTGTACTTGGAGAAATCCACCGCACACAAGGCGGTGGCTGGACCGTAGTCCGCTTCACACTGACTGCATGGAACCACTCTTTGATCCCAACACGGCCACAAGGACCGTGCACCCCGTACCCTCCAGCAACGACCAACTGTCTCCTGGAGCCAGTATGGACGACGTAGTGGGTAATAGACAGGTAGGCATTTTGTCAACATGCATATTAAGCACAGCCACACTGGGGATATCAAACAACAGCCAATCACTTGAAAGAAAGGGAGCGAGAAAAGGAGAAGAGAAATACTAGATTAATGCATAAGGAAACGGTGACATAAACCTTAATTAAATAGCATATGTAATAAGTTGTTTCCAAGCAAATCCAAGATAAGTGCACGGGGTCAAAAAGTATAGTTCACGGAAAGCCACGAACATAAAAATGTTATGGAAATCGAATACATTTGGCTTTAGGCGAGGTGTGCAAGTTAATGGAATCAAGTACAGAGAGATATTTATACGAGAAAGAAAAGCTTTAAGGTAAAAACTGTAAACCCACCACCTGAAATAAAGAGACTTAGCATGCAAGCACGCGGTTAGCAAATCGAGTTCAGCGTGCCTACAAACGCTGCGCCGGTGCTGCCTACGTTCACTGCGGGACCCGTCATCGCTTCGGCAGTGGACCCGAGTGGCCTCGCTCATGGCTCACTAGGCCTGCCTGACTAAGGCACTTGCGACCGCATGTTCTACAGCACTACGCGCGCGATGTCGATGGAGTACAATTCATCGGTGCTTGCCGCTTCCGCACTTGCCGCCTCTTCTCTGCATGCATGAGGGCTTTCTCCCGCACTTCAGCAACTGCCTTCGTGATTAGATCGCGCCGTGCACCACGATCAACCGCCTTCGATTCCCATGATCTGCGATCAAGCTTAGAACGTGTGGTGCTCACTTTAATCATGCCCTGGTAACGTAACTTTGGTTTCCCAGCATGCCGCTTCCGTATACTCAGCTGACCGTATAACAGTTGTTTCGGTAAACGCGTCGAATCCATACAGCTCACATGACCGAGCCATCTCAGGTGTCGCAGTAAAAGTATGCCATCCACTGCAGACATCCCACTTCGGCGCAACACTTCCGTGTCCGCAACTCTGGCGCCCCAACAGATCCGCAAAATTCGTCGCAGACACTGCTGACGGAACCGCTCGCGATATCGCACATCCCGACGGTACATCGTCCACATTTC